CAATCCAAGCTAAACTAGCGGTGGCAAAATGAATTAAAAAATAATTATTCGCTAAAAATTAGTTGGATAATGGACGTTTTTAATATTTGATCAAATATGGATAAGATTCATATTATCCATTTAAAAGATAGATAATATAAGCAACGGAAAAGGCCTAAAAATGCCACTCAACTTTCAGAAATGGTTTATCCATGCCATCCGTTAAAAAATTGTTATTTCCATGCCACTGCCGTTAAAGAAATGGCTCATCCATGCCATTATTGACTAACGGCTCAATTTTTATTTGGCCCATCCATGCCACTGCCGTTAGTCAATAATGGCATGGATGGGCCATTTCTTTAACGGCAGTGGCATGAAATGAGCATTTTTTTAACGGATGACATGGATAGATTATTTCTGAAAGTTGAGTGGCATTTTTAGGCCTTTTCCGTATAATCAATGGGTTTTAATATTAACATTTGCAACGACTCAAATTAGAGGTTTTTCAAATTTGGGAGACGAATTCTCCCAAAAATGATATCCATATTATCCGCCGGTTAACCCATTTTTTATTCGTATTAATTATGAGTCGATTCAAATATTTTATCCGTTTTTACATTATCCATTTTGACCTGCTGATATCCGACCCGACCCTCCTATTTATCACCCCAAGCTAAATCAACGAACACTGCAACTTGTTAAAAGTACTTCTACTCATGTCGACGAAAAATGAAATCTACAAAAAGGGCCTGGCATGCAGCACTTTAATCATCTTTATTTGTTTTATGTTTAAAAAGAGAAAGTTATCTGGAAAAATGGCCGCTGTTAACGGATCTAAAAAACAAAGTCAAAAGGAGACAATGATAATAAGAGCGAGGTTGTGGGGAGGGAAAAAACAAGGAGTCCGGAACTAAAATGTGGTTCTTTTGGATTCAAAGTACACAAATAAATGATAAAAAAAAGTTACATTTTTATATATAGTGCCACAATAAGTGGCACTATACCCCTTTCTTACTTTTGCAATCAATAACAAATCTATAAACAAATTAAATTGCTTCTTCCACGGTTGATTGGACATTACTTTTGCTATACCCCTTTGTTACTTTTGATTATTTTCATTCTTCAGTAGATTTGTTATTGATTGCAAAATTAAATTGCTTTTTCATTAATTGCATACATTAATTGACTAAAATGAGATTCTCGTAAATCCTTTTTTTTCGGAAACTTTATGTACTTTACTTTTTTTTAATTTACAACTTCAATAGAATATTGTCGGCGCATTTTTATTTTTATTTTCCAATAAAAGTATAGAATTGAGCAGTCTCGGAAAAATTACTCTCCTACAATCTTCTAAGAATTTTTCTAAAAAGATTGTGCTAGACAGTTACTCATCATTATGACATTTAATTTCTTTTAATTAGGTGACTAGCATAGGTAGAAAGCTTTACTTCACTTAATTACCGAAGATCATGTGTCAAACTTTGCAATCAATAACAAATCTCATTTTAACTTTTGCAGTAAATAAATTAAATTGCTTCTTCATACTGAGAAAATAAATTAAAGGGTACAAAAGGCACATAAGATTATCCTTTTTATATATGTCATAATGATGAGTAACTGTCTAGTGAAGAAGCAATTTAATTTTGCAATTAAAAAAAAGTGATTGAAAATTAAAAAAAAAGTAAAGTACATAAAGTTTCCGGAAAAAAAAAGGATTTATGAGAATGTCATTTTAATCAATTAATGTATGCAATTAATGAAGAAGCAATTTAATTTTGCAATCAATAACAAATCTACTAAGAATGAAAATAATCAAAAGTAACAAAGGGGATAGCAAAAGTAATGTCCGGTCAACAGTGGAAGAAGCAATTTAATTTGTTTATAGATTTGTTATTGATTGCAAAAGTAAGAAAGGGGTATAGCGCCACTTATTGTGGCACTATACCTGGACCATGTCAGCTTTTGCAGTATAGCGCCACAATAAATGGCGCTATACATTAACGGTGCAGTTATCGTTAATGTATAGCGCCAGGTATTATAGCACTATATATAAAAATGTAACTTTTTTTTTTATCACCTATTTGTGTACTTTAAGTCCAAAAGAATCACATTTTGGTTCCGGACGTTAGGAAATGAAATGGTGCGAGTTAAAAGGCCGGTTAAAACGCGTAATAAGTTAGGTATATACTAACACCTAACGGCTAGCAAAGAGCAAAAGCAAAAGCACAAGTTAGGTAGTTGGCTTACATTTTGTTTGTTGATATTTTCAAATCGGAAAAGGGTCATATTTACCCCTGTACTCTTTAAAAAGGGTTATATTTATTCTTCGTTATACTTTTTTCATATATTTATTCTTACCGTTATACTTTAGGATCATATTTGTCCCAGTACTTTTCAAAAAGGGTTACATTTTTCATTCGTTATACTTTTTGACATATTTATTCTTACAGTTATACTTTAGGATCATATTTGCCCCTCATCCATTAAATCCTCATGTCCCACCTTTTTTTTCCTACATGGCGCCTATGTGGATTTCTTTTTCTTCCAATTTAAATATGGTCACCTATTTAAAATAATTTAACCGCCCACCCAATTTAGATATGATCACCTATTTAAGATAAAGTTCTTTTTCAGCTCCATGTTTATCGGATAGCCACGGCAACGTATTGGCAAACAAGAACTTTGTACTCAAAATCACTAATCTGATACAGCTCACAATTATTGCAGTAACCAAAGTAAATTACGAAAAGTGCCACAACAACGGAGTCAATGACAAAGGTCAGTGCTTAAAATAGAGCACTGACAGAAGCCTAAAACTCGAAGAAAACTTTCAAGTTTATTTAAAAAATTGTCAAGATAAATTAAGTTTTGAATAGCGTTTATAAGCAAGAATGAACCGAGTTGTCGTCGTCGGATGAATTAGAGGTAACACTATAGTTTCGTTCACTCACCGTCCAAAATTTTCTCACTCGAACTTGATTTTATAGGTTGTCGCTGCTATCCGGAAAACATGGAGCTGATCCAGAGAAGAGAGATGGACGAGTGTGGGGGTTGGGAATTGGGATTTCGGTTTATTTTAGTTAGTGGGTCTGATTTAATTGGATGGGCCGGTTAAATTAACTTAAATAGGTGACCATATTTAAATTGAAGGAAAAAGAAATCCACATAGGCGCCATGTAGGAAAACAAAGGTGGGACATGGGGATTTAATGGATGAGGGACAAATATGATCCTAAAGTATAACTGTAAGGATAAATATGTCAAAAAAGTATAAAGAAGGACAAATGTAACCCTTTTCGAAGAGTACAGGGGCAAAGATGATCCTAAAGTATAACGATAAGGATAAATATATCAAAAAAGTATAACGAAGGACAAATATAACCCTTTTTAAAGAGTACACGGACAAATATGACCCTTTGCCATTTTCAAATAGAGTCGTTAACATAAATTTGATGGCAGAAGCCGTTTCCATCTAATGCATTATTTCAAGGAATTTTTACATGAATAATCAGTAGAATTTACTATTTGCTTTTTTAGTCCGTGTACATTATATAATGTTATATATAATATAAATTATACAAATATTATATATTCGTTCATTTTTTAATTTAAATTGTAGGTTGCTATACGAGATGTGGATAAATATATTTCGTAATTTTACTCGCTCAGCGTATTAATTAAGAAAACTATGAGTATACCCAGGGGCGGATCGGGTCTATTATTAGTGGTTTCCCGTGAACCCAGTAGCTTTTGCATATTGTATGTGTATTAAAAAATTCACTAAATATTCGTAAATATTTGATTGTGAACCCATTTACTTATTGTATATTTACTTAAGATCGTTATAGGAACCCATAAACTTTAAATCCTGAATCAGCTTATGAGTATAGCCCTACCTAAAAGTAGCAGTGCATTCATTATCAAATTCCCAGTTGGATACCATTAAATAAAAGCTTTTAGGTAAACGAAATCACCCAATAATTACAACGCGTTTTTTTGAGAATCCCATCCCTTTATTATTAGTATTTATTATTAATCAATAGAATAATAACCACTCCCCATCCGCATCTAAAATCCAACGCGCAATTGACAGATCCAATTGATTCAAGACCGGCTCTAATATCCTCCACCGTATAAAATTTCCAACATAATGTAATTCTGAATAACAAATTTTCATCTTCTATATTTACCTAAAATTGAACAATATGAGTGCTAAACCATAACTCAGATGCGTGTAAACCATCACACTATCTAATTGTACATTATTGAAGTAGTGTAGTGTCGAAATTGTGCTATATGTTCTTTTTTATAATCGTGGTATTCCAGCCAGTTTGTGCATACCTTAATTAATTTTTTAGGATACTCGCTATCTTCTACCCGTACAAGAGCTAATGTATAAAATGCTACTCCCTCCGGTCCACTAAATCGACTTTTTTGGCTGTTTTCGAACATAGGAATCCGCCTTTTAACATTAATCAATAATAAATCTGACCATATTAACCTTAATTTGTTCATTGAAAATATAAGTACTCCTAGGCTCTTTATTCCAAGGGCAACTTAGGAAAAAAAAGTTTATTCCTTCTTGATATCTTAAAAATAAAATATTGTGGACCACAAAAAAAAGCCAAAAAATCAATTAAAGTGAATCGGAGTATTTCTCATAAAATAATGAAAAGTTATTTTACCAACATAATGGAAAGAGAGTTCATACAAATTTCTATCGGTTACTCAACTTACTCTTAATAGAATTTAAGTCTAACCTTAACAGTCCAAAGATCTTTAACGTATACAGTAAGATATTATTTGTCCTCAAAATGATGTAAATCTTTGCGTCTTGGATTCCCTTGGCTCATCTTTTGGAGAAGAATCCTATTTTATAGCACCAAAGATTATGTTTTACATTTATAAATATATCTTACTAACAAAATGAAAGTAATTTAGATAACTACTTTTTCTTCTTTATTTTTCAATATTTTAATTATTTAATTTTTCCAAACTTCCCCTTTATATACCACCCCCAAGACTTGTCCTAGTTTGTCTCCTAAATTTTCTCAACCTTAAAAAAACCACAACCACCACGCATTAGTTTCATACACTCTCTTAACCAATTCAAACTCTAAAACCAATTCCATTGCCAGCCATTTTCTTCAGAATTTTCTCATTTGATTTACCAACATTTCTTCTCTCTTTAATTGCGAAAAAACTCGCCACCACCACTTGCGGTAGCCGGCGCCGCAACAACAACCGCCGGTCTCCCTTTCCGACATTCAATTGCACCACAAATAAAAAGAATAATGGCCACAGAGGAACTCCGACGAATTTTCCAAATGTTCGATCGAAACGGTGACGGTAGAATAACGAAAAAGGAGTTAAACGATTCGTTAGAGAACATGGGAATATTCATTCCAGATTCAGAATTGTCTCAAATGATCGACAAAATCGACGTGAACGGCGACGGATGCGTCGACATTGACGAATTCGGTTCACTTTACCAGACGATAATGGACGAACGCGACGAAGAAGAAGATATGCTTGAGGCGTTCAATGTGTTCGACCAAAATGGAGATGGTTTCATAAGTGAAGATGAATTGAAATCTGTGCTTGCGTCGTTAGGGTTAAAGCAAGGACGAACAATAGAGGATTGTAAGCAAATGATAAAGAAAGTGGACATTGATGGAGATGGAATGGTGAATTTCGCCGAGTTTAAGCAGATGATGAGAGGGGGTGGGTTTGCTGCTTTGAGTTAGTTTATTTTTTTAATTGTTAATTTTTTTTATATTTAAATAGTATTAAGCATCAACTTCTTATTTTTTATTTTCATATGTTGTGGCATGTAAATAAACTTGTTGCTATTATTTTATTTTTTCAATTGTTAAATTGTGTTTGGCTTCTCTTCTACCTCAAATTTTGTTGATAAATATACCTTAGGATCCATTACAAATGAAAGAAAAGGAAGTTGTCTCATGAAATTCTAGTAAATGGATTGAACAGTTTTGGAATTAGATAAAGGTATGTCTTACAGCTCTAGGATTGTTTTTCTCTAGTTTCTCATCATATATTTATATTGGGATTTGACTTAATTGGAATAAGACTTAGCCTTGAAATTGAAATAAACGGCAGATATCTTAGTCTCAGGGGCGGAGCTATATAAATAAGCAAGAAAGTAAACTGTTATTGAGATTTTGATGGAATATCGTGTACGCTTGTTACATTATGTTTGGATCATTGTTACCAATCGTTTTATAATATATTGTATTGTATCGTTTTATCGAACAACGCTTGAATAGATTGTATCATTTGCTGTTGTTGAATAACATATTGTTATTTGGTTTGATTGTATCGTACTGTACTGTAATTGAGAAGTTCACTAAAATACCCCCAATTGTTTTAAATAGAATTGATCAAGAATTACACATAAAAATATTTAAGACAACCTCTTTCTACTAATTTATGATTAATTACGTAGCTTGAAAACAAGAGCAAAAACCTGGAAAAAAAAAGGTTAACTAATATTAGTAACAAAAAAAAATTAAAACGATGAAAAGAGATAAAGAATTGAACGGGGACTTGGATAAAAAGAACGGGACAAACCAACTCTATAAAAGATGGAAGAAGACAAAGTAGGTCAATAGGTTGGAGTTAAAATAAAAAAAATTAAATAATAAAATAGAATTATAGAGTAATAAATAAGGGCATAATTGGAAAAGAAAATATGAAACGATCCCACCACACCAAATCAGCTGTTTCATAAAATGGAGCTTTTGGTTGTTCCAGAATAATGGATTTGACAATACGATACAACCAATTTTAAATAAACAATCAAAACAAATATTGTTTTGGGATAATAATACAATACAATACAATGGGTAACAACCATCCAAACAACCTGTTAGAAAATTCGTCACCTTAATTACAATAATGATAGAGCTCACTAATTGTAGTTACACCTAGGGAACAAGGTCCTAGGACAAAGCTACTCTTAAATGATAATTATAAGGGCCATTGAAGAATATGTAACGGTGGGCAGTAAATGTCATATTCTCTGTAACGAATCATATATGACAGACATTTATTTTGCCCTTATGAGTATCATTCTCTCCAATGACAAGCGAGATTACTGCCTTCGGATCCGACTGTCTTCTGTCTTCAGCTCCACGTGTCGCTTTCTTATGCGGTCATTAAATATGAACATATTTTACCCCATATAGATGGTCCCCCTTCTTTCCGGTGGCATAACTTTGTGTCACTGGGAACTTGGTAGAGATACCTTTCTTGGCGGAAAACACTCTTGCCCCTTTTAAAAGTTTCTGATGGTTGATTAGATGCACCTCTCTCTGCATTTAATGCCCCAAACACACGTCATCCCATAATTCAGCATCACTTTTGCAGGTTATCGAGGTAATTATGGCCATAATTTTCGCCGCCCATTCCTTTACTTAAACGCATCAAACTTCTTCATTTACACTTCCTGGTTCTCTAAACTCTCTCAAACTCTCTTTACTCAAATTGTACTTTGTCTTCATCCTTTCTTCAACCTTCTTCTTCAGAGAAACCCTTCCTTCCTTTCCGATAAAAATGGCTTCTTTTTCTTCTAAAAACACCAGTTCCTCAAAGAACAAAAAGCCGATGATGTTGTGCCTCCTACAGTGAGCACCATCATCCCAAAGAGTCTTGTCACAACTAAAGACTTCGAAGAGAAGTTTTCTTTCGCTAACCCTCGTACGTGGGCCGTTGGCGTGTACCCTTCTTCCATCTGTCCTTCCAGTATTCCCGGTGTGAAGGAACACTGCCATTACCAAGATTTAGACATTATCTCTCCTGATATGGCGGAGCATATAACCCTTCCTAAGAGGATTTCACGTATTTTTATACATATCCCTTCACTTTGGGGCCGTTCTCTTTGAGCGGGGAGCCTGATTTCGTTATTGTGGAGTTTTGCATCCACTACCAGGTATGCCTGGCACAAGTAAGTCCTTCTGTATGGAGGACAGTCGCTTGTCTTTGGCGTTTGTGCCAAGAGGCCGGAGAGGAGCTAATCCTAGCTCGATTAATGAACCTTTATTACCTCAAGATTTTTCGCGGGGGAATGATAAACTTTAGCAAATGTGGCCACCATGCTCTGCTAGCCAGCATGGATGATGACAACAACCGTGGATTGACGGAATGGTTCATTGCAGTCGCCATCAAAGATATCATTCCGGCAACGGCTTCATCCTTTCCGAAGTTATGGAATTGTACTCGTAAGTTCATCGTTTGTCTCTTCTTCTAGTTAAAGATCACCCCATACTGTTACTAATTCCTTTTCTTTTAATTATTTCAGCAACTCGGTGGGTTCCACCGCGAGTTGAAAGCTTGGACTAGTAGGTCCAAAAGATTTTGGACGTTACTACGCCCGAGACGCGTACGTGAAGGAACTAGAACTTAAATACATGTGAAAGGCCAAAAATCATGGTAGGTTAAACTCATCTCGTTATTTCCTTTCGTGTAAAAAAGCTGATTAACCCTTTTTCCTTTGTTGAATTCAGGTCTACCCCAAGCTCAGTTGTTGTCCCTCAGGACGTTTTTGATACATCCTAGGAAGCTCAAATCTATTTAAGGACAAGGATGAAGCTTTGGAATCTCAAAGAGGACCTTTAACAAGGTCTCAAGCTAAAAAGTTGCAAAATAAGGTCATTGGACTTCAGGAGTGAACAAAGAAGTTGTTAGTTGGGAGGAAGAGCTCAAGGATAAAGGATATGAGTTATCTAGGTGTTATAATTATTTTATGGACCAAATTCATGTCCAAGAAATGGTGGATTAGATCCCAAGAAACATTCTCTGAAGATGGTCCAAATCAACCCATTGTTGGACCAATTTGGCACCTAAAATGTGTCCAAACTTGCAGCCCATATAGTCCTCCATAAAGCTACGTTTTTATAGCATAAAATGGACTTACTTGATGTCCAATAATGGTACAATAGTCGTGCTAGTGTTGAGTGCAAGTTGGTGCCAAGTTGCTTGCAAATATCCTTCAATATTTTCAAGATTCTATCCAGATTGGTTTGGGACTTATTTCCATATATTATATTTTCCTTTTACTAAGATTTTTGGAATTACTTTCCAAGAATGACTTGGTTTTTGCTTCCTAGTATTTTTCTTTTCGTAAGGTAGTTGGACGTGTTATCCAAAGTAGTTCAGGACTTTATTTACTTATTTTTTAGGTAGAATTACGTGAACCCTCTCTATATAAAGGGGTGTTTTCTTTGTTTTTAGACTTAGATTATTCAGACTATTATCAATAAAAATTGTGAGATTTCTTGCACTCTTGTGTGTGGCTACTCTTGGATTTATTCTTCAACCTTCAAGACTCAACTTAAGGTGGTAAGATTAAACTCTTTCGAAATGTTAGATCACTTCTAGGTATTCAAGAAAGGTGGTAAGTTTAACCTTATTGTTGTTCTTGTTATTCTAAGGGGTCGGGTTTCACAATCTATCTCTTGTGTTTAATTCTCTACCAAAAACGATTAGTTCGTTAGCTAATTATTGTTATTAGGATTCAACTTCAAGAATAGACTTCTTGAATTCAATCTATCTTTAATTTTTCGTCCTTTTTCGTTTCTTTATTTTCTTTTAGCTTCCGCACGTTTCTTGATTTTCTTGTTTTTCTTTAGTAATTCATGATTCCCCTATCATGTTGTTATCAGTTTTGGCTGATCCTGCTGATGCGGTGAGGCGGCTGGGAGGCATTTACCGGAACAGGTGTCTCTGGACCTGCTTCTAGTGCAAGTGCTTCTTCTCGGAGTCTCGGGCGGAACAAGCAAACAAAAAGAAGACGTTCCTCCGCGGCCGAGGGAAAAATGAAAAGGCAAAGAGTGTCACACTCGAGTCGTCTCCAGAAGTTGTGGTGGTGAGCCCCACACCTGAGCCGACCATAGACACCGTGGTGATGACGATGATGGAGAAGCCAGCGAGGAGGGGGATTCTCTATATAGAAAACGATGACCTTCCTCAGCTCAACAGAATGCTCAATCTGTTGAGTTAGTTACACCAACCGAGGACGATCCCTTGATACTCTAGGGGGAGTATGATATGCTGGAAATGCCAACTCCCGTTTTCGAATCCAGTAGCCGTGCCCAATACCTTGGGGTTGAGTACCGGGTCCCTGCCGTCTTCGGTTGATGACAACCAACAACCAATACTGCACTTGCCGCAGCCACTTCTCATCCTTCAGCGCCATCAGCTTCATCTCCCTGTTCTCCAACTTTGCCTTCGCCACCAGCAACTGCTACATCATCTCCGCTGGCCGCAGCTGCTCAAAAGGAGGATGTCCCTCTTCCGTAGTTCCCAGTTCATGGGAACCTGGGGCAAAATTATGCTGCCCCCTCAGAAGACCCTCAAAGGAGGATGAGCGTTACTCTCTCGGTCTCCATCGGATGCCACCTGCTGTCCCAGCCAATAGAACTTGCAAATTATCTGAAGCTTTTGGCTTCAGTAAAAGATAGAGATAAAATACAAGCTCTCTTGGGAGAGTGTTTGCTGAACAATGCCTTGCACAATGCAGCATCGGTATATTCTTCGTTTCCTCAATTATTTCTCCTATCTTTGATATAACAGGATTTTTAATTTGAACTTTCCGTTTTGTAGGCCGACTTTCTTGCTTCCGAGGGCCTCCAAAGGTTGATTTGTGATAAGGAGGAACTTACCTCCAAGCGGAATCAACTTTAGGTCGAGCGAAATCAGACTGCTTCTTGCCTTTCATAACTGGAAGCATGAGTTGATGAAGCCCCCGAGTTGGAGACTCGGTTGCAGCAAAGCGAGCAAGAAGTAATGACCCTTAGCCAAGAGGTCTCCCTGTTAAGGCTCAATTTGAAGAGGCTAGGTCTAAATGGGTTGAAGTCCATAATGTTGTTCTT